GGAGATGGCGCAGTGGAATAAGTGCCTCTCTGGCGAGCGCAAGGGCCTGAGTTCAATCCCCATTCTGCAAAAAAAAAAAAAAAAAAAAAAGGGCTGGGGAGATAGCTCAGTGGAATAAGTGCTTGCCAGGCAAGTGCGAGGTTCTGAGTTCGATCCCTGGTATCACACACACACACACACACACACACACACACACAGAATGAGGAAAGTTAGAGAGCCAGGCATTGTGGTGCACACCTGTCCTCCCAGCTGGCCAAGAGGGTTGAGGTAGGAGGGTGGCAAGTTTGGGACCAGTCCAAGCAACTTAGGGCAACTTATAGAGATCCCATGTCAAAAGAATAGAAAGGGCTGAGGATGCAGTTCAGTAGGGGAATACTTACCTAACATATGAGGCTCTGTGTTCAGTTCCTAGTACTGCAAAAGAAGAGGAGAAGAGAGGGATGTTTTACGTGCTGTGTTGAAATGTACTGGAAGTAGCTTTATATTTCACTGTCTGGTGATGAATTCATAATGGACACATAGAGAGCACAGCAAGTGTAGACATGAGGTAGTCACTTCCACTTCTAGTAGTGATGCGCTTGGCGGTTTGGACCACCTCTCCCACTGAAGATAGCTGCTAATAGAAGAGCTTTATTAAAAATAAAACTTACAGGGGCCAAGGAGATAGCTCAGTGGAATAAGCACTTGCCTGGCAAGCAAAAGGACCTGAGTTCAGTCCCTAGTTCCTCAAAAAAAAAAAAAATTAAAAAATTAAAAAATAAAACATACAGGTTTGCTGGCATCAAGAAGATAACTAGGTAATAAAAAATAACTGGGCCAAGGTTCTGGATAAAATAGAGCCAGGGAGGTTAGCCTGGGATGGCACCCAGGGAGAGGAGCCCCGCTGTGCTAGCGTGTTCAGGTCACAAGACAGAGGTTGGAATCCAGGGATTACCTAGGTGTGGCAGTTGCCCTGGCAAACTTCTCTCACTTTTGTCTTGTTTCATTTATTTGCAATTCTGGGGCTTGAACCCAGAGCCTTGTGCATGCTAGGTGGTTGTTCTACCACTGAGCTACATCTCCCCTTTACTCACTTGAAAGGTCACACTCTTGGGGCTGGGGAATCAGCTCAGGTCCTGAGTTGGTTTGTGGGTATTTTTGTGTGTCGTACTGGGCATCAAACTTGGGACCTTGTGCTTACCAGGCAGGCATGTAAGTCACTGGGCTATAAGGTCCTGAGTTTGAAAGGAAAGAAAAGGAAAGGGAAAGGGAAAAGAAGGAAAAGAAAATTTCTACTCTAGCGCTCTTTAGGTGACTTGACTCTAAGTAGGCCTCTCAGCAACTCCACTTACTTTAAACTGAGTCTAGATTGTTGCTATTCCCTGGTCTCCAGGAACAAGCAAACATAAATTTTCTTTGGAAGAAATAATATTGTTGTAGGACTCAACTTATTTCTACCTACAGTTTTCAAATATAGTGTCTGGGGGCTGGGGAGATGGCTCAGTGAAATAAGCACTTCCCTGGCAAGCTCAAGGGCCTGAGTTCAATCCCTGGTTCTGCAAAAACAAAACAAAACAAAAACACCAAATATAGTGTCTGGTGTGTGTAGAAAGGCAACACAGAAAGAAAGACAAAACAAGAACAGACCTGCAGCACTTCCAAATATTAAAGCTGTGGGCTGGGGAGATGGCGCAGTAGAATAAGCACTTGCCGCAAGGGCCTGAGTTTAATCCCCGGTCCTGGGGGGGAAAATATATATATAATATATATATTCTGCTTCACTGACATTAAATAACTGCCTAGTGTGTTTTTTTTTTAAAAAAAAAAAAAATATTTATTTATTTATTTAGTGTGTATGTGGCCAGCTCAGCCCACCAGGGGGCGGGGCTGGCTGGCATGTAGTGCTGGGGGATTGAACCGCGGTCCCTGTGCTTTTGCTTAGCTTAGCTTGTTCTAAGTAGGTGCTTTAGACCACTGAGCCATCTCACCAGCCTCTGCCTAGTGTGTTGATAGAAGAAGAAGATACATCTTAGAATTTGGCAGAGAACTAGGAGCTTTAAAAATCTGAATGTACGTGCTAGAAGAGAAAACACATTTTCTGAAATTAGAAATTCATTGGATGGCTCAGTAGCAAATTAGACACTACAGAAGAAAAACTTAGAGACTTGGAAAATAGGACCAAAAAAAAATATCTGGAGTGATAATATAGGGACAGAAATGAAAACTAAAGAAGAGAGGATAAAGTAAGAAGGTCTACTAGTGTATATGCTGTTAGAATTTCCAAAGGAGGGGGCCAGGGAGATGGCTCAGTGGAATAAGCACTTCCCTGGCAAGTTCAAGGGCCTGAGTTCAATCCCCAGTTCCGCAAAAAAAAAAAGAGAATTTCTGAAGGAGAAGAGAGCAAGAAAATCAGCCAGAGATAACATCCTTTTGCCCAGTGGCATTGGTTAGCATTTTTTTTTTTTTTTTTAAATTTTTAGGAAAGAGTTTACAGGGTGTTCAGGGTCTCACTGCTAGATCAGACTGGTAGTGATCCACCTGTTTACAGCCTCACAAGAGCTAGGATTACAGGTGCTTGCCACCATGCCCAGTCTCAGTTGCCTTCTCAGTGTGCCCTGGGAGTGGGGCCAGCACATCAGGCCCAGGGGATCGAACCTGGCCCCTGCATCTGCTTGCAGGCTCTTTAATCCACCCAGCTATTTGGCCGGCCCAGTTAGCAATTCTAAAATGATGTTTTTTCTGTATTTTAAGATGGATCAAATAAGGGAGTGCAATTTGAATAACGAGAGCAATGTTTTTGAGGGTGGGGTAGGATGCAACCTCTGCTGAATTGGAATTACAGCTGTCCTTGTGAGTGTCTAGTTTTTGCTGCCTACAGAAATACAAATACAGAGGTAGGGAAGGGACTTTTTTTTTTTTTTTTGCGGAACCAGGGATTGAACTCAGGCCCTTGCGCTTGCCAGGGAAGCGCTTATTCCACTGAGCCATCTACCCAGCCCTTTTTTTTTTTTTTTTTTTTGTGGAACCGGGGATTGAACTCAGATCCTTGCAATTGCCAGTCAAGCGCTTATCCTACTGAGCCATCTCCCCGGCCCTACAAATGCAGAGGTAGGGGTATCTGTGTTTCCTGGTCTCTCTGAGAGGACCTAGAACTGTAAGTACCAGCAGCAGCCATTAGCAGGCCTGGTACCCAGATGTGTTTCTCCTGAAGAGGTGCCAGGGCTCCCTAGAGAATTGCCTGGGCCGGGGCTGAGGCTGGGCTGAAGATGTAAGACAGCAGAGGGCACAGCAGTCAGCCAGAAAGGGCTATTGTGGGGCACAGCCAGGATGTTTTTAACCTTCAAAACAAGGAGTAAGGGGCCGGTGAGGTAGCTCATGGTCTAAAGCACCTGCTTTGGCAGGCACAGGGGACCATGGTTTGATCCCCAGTTACGACACGCTGTGCCAGCTCTGCCCTCAGGGCTGAGCTGGCAAAAAAAAAAAAAGGGAATAATAGTAAAGGGCTATAAAAATAAGACTCTGTAAGGCCAAACTGATAATGAATGAATGAATGAATGAATGAACGAACGAACTATTGGATGAATACATAAGTAGAAGAGAAGGAAAACCTCTTTATCACTGTGGAATAGAGACTATTAAATGGAGAGGGAATGATGGAATTGGAAAGTCAGTGTTTAGGAGACCTGTAGTAACTGATTTCAGGCAAGCTTGACGAGCAACAGGATATTCACCGAGACTCAGTGTATCCTCCTACAATATACCTTATAATCACAAGGGCAAAATAGTAACTTTACAAGGGGGAAACCTGGCAGACCTCACTAGAAGCAAGTATTCAAAATAGCCAGTCTTGCCGGAGAGATGGCTCAGTACAATAAGCGCTTCTCTGGCAAGCGCAAGGGCCTGAGTTCAATCCCTGGTTCCACAAAAAAAAAAAAGACAATCCAATGTTGGGGCTGGTGAGATGGCTCAGTGGTCTAAAGCACCTACTTAGAACAAGCTCAGCAAAGCACAGGGACCGCAGTTCAATCCCCCAGCACCACATGCCAGCCAGCCCTGCCCCCTGGTGGGCTGAGCTGGCCACACACACACACACACACACACACACACACACACAAATAAATAAATTTTTTTTTAATTTATTTATTTATTTATATTTTTTTTGTGTGTGTGGCCAGCTCAGCCCACCAGGGGGCAGGGCTGGCTGGCATGTGGTGCTGGGGGATTGAACCGTGATCCCTGTGCTTTGCTTAGCTTAGCTTGTTCTAAGTAGGTGCTTTAGACCACCGAGCCATCTCACCAGCCCCAATAAAATTATTTTTAAAAAATAAATAAATAAAAGGATTTTTGGAGCTGGGGGGATGGCTCAGTAGAATAAGCGCTTCCCTGGCAAGTGCAAGGGTCTGAGTTCAATCCCTGGTTCTGAAAAAAAAAAAAAAAAAAAAAAATTTGGTTTTTTTTTTTTTCTTTTTGGATGGTTAGCAAAATTTGAATATGATCTATAGATAAGAGTAGATAATAATTCTGTATGGATATTAATGTTATGATATCTATGACTATCACAGTTACTAAGAGGATGTCCTTGTTTCTAGAAAACACAGGAAGTAGTTGGGGTATAGTAAGCATGCAGCTTGCTCTCAGGTAGCTCAGAAGAGCAGAGCGGAGTGCAGAGGCAGGACGGGGAGCACACACTTGGGCGTCCTGCTTCTACTCGCAGGAGGCGCACACCTTTCCTCCTGAGAGTTGGCCGCCTGTGCTGTGCCTAAACTGGGACTGGGCTGCAGCTCGTTGCAGGGTGTTGCAGACCCCTGTGGTTTCAGCCATCCCAGGCAAGGTGCACTTGTCTGTCTACGAGCCTTCCCAGCCTTCGGAAGCTGAGCATGGACATCTTACTATCTTGGCTCTTCGTGGCCTCTTGCATTTCCATTTAAATTGTAGGGTCAACTTGTAGTAGTCCCCAGCTGAGTAAAAGATTGGTTCTTGTTTGGCCATCTGTGGTTTCAGCCATGTCGTTTATCTTCTAGCTTTTCCGAAGAGCTGGTAGATGAAGCCCTGGGGGCTGTGGCTGCGGAACTTCAGGATGCATGTGAAGACTACGCAGAAGCCGTGTTCACCTCAGAGTTCCTAGAGGCTGCTGCATAAAGGCTGTCAACCCAGGGCTCATCCTGTGAAATCAGAGAAGGGACACACCACTCTTTGCTGAGCCCACGAGAAACCTTTGTCCTTAGCTGTCTGTCCAGGCCCAGGAGCTGGCGCCTGCAGGAGGGAGGACAGGAGGGAGGTGCTGGTGAGGTCTGCCTCGCTGCTATATCTTCTCTCCTCATCACAGCATGGCTTCCTGAAGCCTGTGGTAGGGTGTGCTTTATTTCATCAGTGTCCAGGAAACATGAATCTATTTTGACAATATAATAGTAGCAAGACATACAATTTTCCTATTGAAATAATATGTTTCATTTCTCTGGCTCAGACTGGTGATCCAAATGCTTTGAAAGGAACAGATGAACATGCTTCGCACAGGACTGATGGTGCTGTTGAAGCCCAGTGGCATCACCACCAGACAGACCCAAGTTAGGGATAGTCTATCAAAAAAAATGACTTGGGGCCGGGGAGATGGCTCAGTAGAATAAACACTTGCCTGTCAAGCGCAAGGGTCTGAGTTCAATCCCCGGTTCTGCCAAAAAAAAAAGACTTTACTTTTCAAAAACTGTACAAAAGTCAGAGATGGAAGAACTCTTTCAGGTTAAACTAAAGAAACATAAGAAACGTATGTGCAGTTACTGTCCAGCCCCACACCCAGCTCCTGGTTTCCACCTTTGGCTATGTCCTGTTAGGACACCTGTCCCTTGAGGGTCGCAGATACACATGGAGTGCAAAATTTGGTCCTGCTGCCAAACCTCTGCGCTCAGCTGCAAATAGGAACCAACCTTTCTTTAGGGACCAGTCCCTGAATCACTTTCACATGTTCAGTTCCTGGGACCTGGGATATAGCTCAGAGGCACAGTGCCTGCTTGGCAAGTACAAGGTCCTAAGTTCAATTCCTGGCAACAGAACAAAACAAAACATATTTTCAGTTCCTCAAAATCTTATTGCTGCAGATTCCCACTTTCTGGTATAAAAAGTTTTCTCTAAATTGAGAGGAAGATAAAGGACACCAGGAGAAGGCCAAGCCTTCTCTTTGCCTTGTATAGGTATGACACTTCCTCTGTCTCCCCAGAGATTATTTCCTCACCACAGAGGAGCCCAAGGGAGGTGAGGGCACAAGGCCAGGAGACCTACGGTCTCCCCAGAGGAAGAAAGACACTTAAGAGCCGTGACAGCTCTGATGTCTTAGAGGTCATGGTACCAAGGGAGAAGTCTCTGTTTCCAGAAACTCTGAAAAAGAAAAAAGAAATTCAGAAAAAGAAAAAGAATATGCACAAAAATAAGGCCACTGCCTGGAAAAAGTTTCCCTTTATTGTTTGCCTGAGGCCTGGTGAAAGACGTGAAGAACTGACTATGCAGGACAGACCCCAGGGAACCATGGGAATCTTGTTCTGACACACACAATGTTGTCATTTGGGATTGTTTTTAAAATACAGGTATTTTAGGATGATGCTTTGACTGCTTGATTGTATATATTTGTGCAAAATTGATTTTCATTCAATGTGAATGTTTTCCTGCTTAATTTTATGTAACTTCAGAATGTAAAGAGCTTTAAGAGAATTATAGGTCTTTAATCTGGAGTGTTAAATCTGTGTACTTGAACTGAGAAGAGACCCGTGATTGGTACTAAAAAGTAATTTGTGTGGCAGTTCTTACTGTGCTAGTATTTTAAAAAATAAATTCAATATTTTAAAGTATATATATGTCTAGTTGAAATAATTTACATCTCCTTTTTTCCCACAGGCAAAGTGAAATGGGATTTCCAGAAACCACTGAGAATACTTACATATTTGATATGAGTATCGTGAATTATTTGCTATTTCTCCCCCTCAGAAAAAGAATGATAAAAAGCTAACATTTATTGAGCACATACTAGAGCACTGCCCTCAGTGCGTTCCCTGTATTACTTATTTAATCTTCATATTCCTTAAGGGGATAGATGCCATTATTCCATTTTATAGATGCGTGCAGAGAGAGAGGAGGCAGTATTTGTCAAACAAGCCTGTGTAGTTTGCCATGGTCATAGATTGACTTCTTCCCACACTTGAGTGCCTTTTCCTGGCTCTCGTCCCACTCAGCATGTCCCAGACACCATCTTCCAGAACCTTCCTTCAGCTAAGCACTTCCTGCCCCAGCCACACCTGAAAGGTCTGCCCATCAGAGCATCCTGCACTGATGCTTGCTCTCCCGACTGACGGGCGAGGCTCGTGCCTGCCTGCAGGACCAGGCTGCCACTTCCTAGCCCTGGCCTGTACCCCTGGCTCTGTAGCCAAAGTGTCTTCCAGTAACAAAAAACAAACTGAAAAAAGAAAAACTTACATTTGAAAATGGAGGCTGAATCATACATGTAATAATGTTTCTCTGTACAGACTTGTAGCTCTAGAAACCTGGCTTTTTAGGGCCGGCCAAATAGCTCAGCACATTAAAGTGTCTACACTAGGCACAGGGGCTGGGGGTTCAATCCCTGGGCCTGCCAAGCCGGCTCTGCCCCTGGTGTGCTCTGAGATGGCAATTGAGACTGGGCATGGCACGCTCCTGTAGTCCCAGCACTTGGGAGGCTGTAAACAGGAGGATCACTATGAGTCTGATCTAGTAGTAAGACCCTGAACACCCTGTAGACCCTTCCCTAAAATGATAAAATAAATTTTAAAAAAGGAAACTTGGCTTTTTGAACAAGCTCCAAGCACCTGTGAGTCATTCTTTAATTCCCTTTAGTTTTCTCATGACCTACTCATGTCCTATTTTCAGAAAGTCATGCCTGAGTTTAGTATAATTTTCATGTTGCATGAGCTGTCCCCAACTTGCAGAGATGCTAGAATACCTTTTGTGTCTGCAGCACTCCCACCCCAGCCCTGCTTCCCCAGCCCTTGTCAGGTTGAGTTTTACCTGTTAACATACTTGCTCTAGGGGCTGGGGAGATGGCTCAGTGGAATAAGCCCTTCCCTGGCAAACGCAAGGGCCTGAGTTCAATCCCCGGTTCCACCAAAAAAAAAAAAAAATACTTGCTCTAGTCAGTAGCAGTTTGCGGGCTGGGACTGCACCTAGCATGTCACACCTGGGTGCTGAGCAGATTCCTCTAGATGAAAGAGGGTTGCTTTTGTGTAGGAAGCCTGTCACATTTCAGTGTAGTGCACAAATGTCTGCTGGCCATGTGTGACCTCTACACAGTTCCACTGTGAGGCTGCAGGTCCTTCCACGTTTCTGCCATCATGCTTCTGGACCTGCATGCACGTTGATGACCACTCTTGTGGATCTTGGGGTGGGCCCTGGGGCTGCGTGTGGAGCAGAGGGAGTAGGGGGCACAGAATGACCCCTCATGCATCCCCTCACACTTCCATCTCACTACAGGCTCCCTGCCTCCTCTTCCTATGAACTGAGGGGCAAGAAAGTGTTGCTTGGTTGGAGATAGAAACAGAGTCCACTTTCCCCCTCCCTCCCTCGCTCTCAGACCCTGCCTCCACAGGGGGGAATGTGTGGAGAGGAGCAGGTGGAGGAGCTAGCCCTGGAGGAGGGGCAAGGAGGCATGACCACTGAGCAAAGTCAACAGCATGGGCAAGGCCTTCTCCAGAAAGGTCTCTGTCTTTGAGAGCAAGGCTAGTGTCCGAGAGGCACAGTCTCAGCATCTAGAGACACTAAATCAGGGTGACTTCCCACCTCCCACACTGAATCAACAGGACTTCTGGCTCAGACATGAGCAAAGCCACAGAAAGCAGGGGCCCAAATGGGCTTGGGTTAGAAGGAGTGCTAGCTGCTATCCTGTGTGCTTCCTCTTTGTCTTTGATGCAGGCCCACGAAGCTAGACTGGGACCCAAGTGAACCAACTCCATCAGCCCTTCCTAGTATTGCACATGCTCTGATTGGAGCCCTCTGCTGTGAGAGCCAGGCTGCAGACTGGCTTCTGAGAGCAGGCCTTGCTTCCCACCTCTCCCTGGAGTGTGGTCCCCCTCCACCAGCCTGACACACTGGCTGGCCACCCCTGTGCTTTTGCCAGTCTGTGCAGGGACCTGAGTGGAGCTGCACCCTCTCTCCCAGATTCCCCTTTTCCCTGCTATAAGGAAATGAAACTCCCAACCTGAAAGGTACCTGGGAAGAGTTCATGTTCTGTAAAACCGAAGAATGAACTTTACGAACGAACAGAGGTTAAGAGCAGAATATATTTATTGGAGGAAAGAAGGCTTCTGCCCGAGAAGCACAGAAGGGGGCACTGATTGGATTGTCCCCAGGAAGCTGTCTCTTTGAAAGACTTTTGTGAAGTAAAACCATGTGGTGAGGTGAGTCTAAGGCAGAGAACATGGGAACTCCCTCAGGTGGGCATAAGGTGGGACAAAACTGTGGTCAACCAATGAGGCTACAAGCACCATTGCGCAGGTAAAATTGATTGAATCCAGGACTGAATGGAGAAGTGAGTCACATAGTGAGCAGGCAGGAATATAGAGCAGGAGTTTATCTGGTAGCCAGCCAGTATTGGATTAGTGACTCTTCTGGCTTCCTCAAGGTGATGATCAATCCCGGATGCTTATGTTTAGGGAGGTAAGCATTTGTTTGATCTTTGGTTTTCAGGTCTGGCCCACAGCAGGAGCATCCATCTCCGTCTCACAGTCTCAACGTGTCTTGTCTTCCCTGCTGTCTCCTTGAGGGCCTGGCCCTGTCTGACTGCCTATACTATTTCTATCTAATTTACCTGCCACAACACAACACCCTTAGCTCTGCAGGTCCTCTGTGTGCAGGTCACCCTCATCAGCTACTTGAACCATTCCTGCTGCCCTTTGCCATTTTTCTGTATGACTTGATCCATGCACCTGACTGGAAATTCTCCTGTGGCCCGTGCTTGCATCTGTCCCTGCCAGGCCTGAACCTGCCCACCTAGACTCCAGCCAGCTGTGTCCAGATGGGCTCCACCCAGTCTTTCTCTTTTTTTTTTTTTTTGGAACCGGGGATTGAACGCAGGTCCTTGTGCTTGCCAGGCAAGAGCTTATTCTACTGAGCCATCTCCCCGGACCTACCCAGTCTTTCTGATACCCACCCTACCCACTCTTCTCCTTTCCTCTGATCCCTGGCTCCAATAGGGTCTGCTCACTCCCTCCCCTCCCTGTGGAATTTGGAGAAGGCATTAGCATACCCTTACTTTCCTGGTCCCTTAAAGAGCTCAAAGGCATCCTCACCACGACTGATGCCCTGGGACATTCCTTCCTCTCTGTTCCTGCTGATAATCATTTCCTGTGTTCCCAGGATCCTGCAGTTTTCATTCTTGCATACATTCCAATACCTTAGAGTCCTTTATGGGGAACCTTCAAGCATCTTTCCCAGTGGTTTCTGAAGCACCCTTCTTTGAACCAAAAAAAGACCACCCCAAGGAGCTTTTTGCAGTTGAAACACTGCCCACATCTGTGTCCATATTTTTGAAAGCCCCTCCTGTCCCAGCCTTCACTCCCAGGCCCTTGGCTTTCATTGGAACCCTCCACCTCTGCCAAGCCTGGCCCTCCTGAGATCTCTGCACACCTTCCTTGCCCCATGCCCTCCTCTAGCCTTGTGCTTCCTCTTACCTCCCTCCCACTAACCCTGCATTACACTCCTGCTCAGCCAGGCTCCCAAGATCTCCTACCCACACAGCAGCTCCTCCACCTTGTTCTCTTGGTGAAGTCAGCCTAAGACCTTCACTCATGGGCTGCAAGCGGTTGCAGCCACACATTTGTGCCACCTGCTGGAGTTGGGCTTTGCGCAGCCCAAGTCTCTATCCCTGCTTAGTAGCCCATGAGCACAGGGGAATTCCAGGGAGTCTTCTGCCTGTGAAAGGCTGTGATCAAGAGAGGCAGGGAGGGCCAGGGAGATGGCTCAGTGGAATAAGTGCTTGCTTGGCAAGCACAAGGGCCTGAGTTCAATCCCTGGTTCCACCAAAAAGGCA